GGGAAAGATCCATTCTGCAAGAACCCTTGAATATATCATAATTTTGCTGAAAATTGTAGACTTCATCCTGACTACACATGAACCATCGAAGTTTTAATATTTGCTCTGTTCTTTCCAAGGAAGCTAAAAAAGTGACACATAGGGGAAAATAAATGTAAAGAACACACAAGACACTTGGTGGGAAAAGGGTGAAATTCTGCAGTGGAAAACCCTCAACACTATAGACAGTATATTTGGCATATTTGTTTTAGAAAGCCAGTTCCAGCACTGCTGAAAAGGAGTATAAAATGGCACAGTCACATCGAAGAACATTTTGGCAATATCAAATAAAGTTGACAATGTATATATCCTATGACTCAGCAATTCCACTTCTAGGAAATTACTCCACTGAAACTCTGATACATGTGCCTAAAGAGACAAGTTCAAGGGCATTCACTGTAGCATTGTCTGTCATAGTAAATAATTAGAATCATCAAAAGAATAAATAGTGGTTTATTCAATAAAATAGTATAAAACACTTAAACTAGATCTGTTTGTATTAAGATCCGGTTGATATAAATATCAAAACATAATGTTAATTGAGAAAATCAGGTTGCAGATGGATGCATATGATACTGTTTGTTAACATTTCAAAATATATAAAATGACGCTTTTAATAGTCTATTTTACAATAGCAATATATTTATCTCTATATATCTACACATATTGTAAAATTCTGAAAAGGCACACTGGAAGAATTGATGATAACTTCCTCACAGTACTGGCCTGGGGAAAGAAGGGAATGGAAAAAAACAATGGGAACTCACACTTTATCTGAAATGCTTCATTTTTCTTTTTAAAAAAATCCGAAGCAAATAAGGCAAAGTGCTAATGCTTACTTATCTGGCACCCTGTACATTAGCATGCATTTATACTATACATGTACATTAGCATGTATTTATACTATTTATATTGTATACTTTGTGCTTTCCTGATTTATTTTTCAAAAAAGCAAAGAGAAAAAAATAAAAAGAAAACCTAAGCATTTATTTCTTTGTAGTTTAGTTCTGCATGTGTTGTTAAAATAGAGAAGTTGACTATTTTGCCCAAGTTTAAAAACTGTATCTGTGTTTTCCCCCTGGGAAAATAGTTGTAATATGTATCCCTATATTATCAGTCACTGAATCTTTTGTGATTATGTTATCGCTATTTTAAAACCATTGTTTTTGGTCTGTACTTTCTCTTTTATCTTGTATCATTGGGAGCAGAAAAATAAGTAAAGGGAAGAGCTAATTCATATCTTTTGAAGGGGATTTTTACAGTTTTCAATCCAATAATATTTGTTAGGCTCCCACATATGTGGTAGAAATAATGATCACACAAATTCTTTCTCATTACAAACCATGAATAGCATTAACTAAAAACATCATACAAATGGTGTTTTTTGTTGCAGTCCTGAATATTAGGAAGCAATACTCGTCCCATGATCTTATTTTCCTAGAACAGGAATCTATTTTAAATGAGAACAGCATGAGTAAAAAATGCACCAGTGTTGTGAGTTATAAATGCTGGTCATGATTGTCTTGTCTGCAACTTTGTCATTTATG